CCTTGATAACCAACAATAGATTAACGACTAAGATTAGAATGACGTCATCAGTAACAATGAATAACACCGCACGACACCTTTGTAGGAAAATTTGATTAATAAATATCTATGTGTCAAAGTGGCACAAGTGGCTAAACTTTTTTGTATGATTTTATTCAAAAATGCGATAAATAGTTGTGGAGGTTTGAGTTCCACGAGCAACCATGCTCGTTACAAGAGGGCAAATTGACAAAACACCAACAAAGAGATACATTTAGTTCCTTATCAAAGACATAACAGAGGTTCCTTATAGAGAGCTCAAGAAAGTAATTTTCACGGTACAGTTTTGCATAATGGTTTACAACGGTAAGTTCCCAAATTGCATAAATCACAATTGGCATAAAATTGAATTTTTTCCCCAAATGGCATAAATTCTAAGTTTTGATATTAATTTAAACGTTTTCTGTCAATTTTTAATTCTAACATTTTGCCAGGAACGAAAGCATGTGAACAAGACTTGGAATTAATTGCTTCCAAACAAATGTTACGCAACAAATTTGTCAAAAAAACTGACCACAAGCAGCTCATTAATAACCGCAAGCTTATGCTTCTTGCTTTTAATTAAAAAAACTACAACTTTTTCAAGATAGAATGTCAATCACTACCCATTAAATAACACCGCACCACATTTCCCCCTCTAGGGAAAATTCCAATCAAACATATGAATTTTACAAAAGTAACGGCATTAATGACAATTTAAGGCGAAAAGACTGAAAAGACTCAACGGCTGAGTAATTAAAGAAATTAAGAGTTTTTAAACAGAGTTTAAGTATAACAATCACAACCATCGAAAGAAGTAGAGGAGTTAAATTTTCATTTCGTCGCAACGGGTTATCCGATACGAGTTTACATTCGGGAAACGGGTGAAATTCCTTGTATAACCCACAGCACCATTGGGAGAACAGACCCTGTGATGTTCCGACTGGAGTGATACTTCTTGTTTGGCCTTGCGAATCGGACCCTTTTATCCGGAAATGCCTGAGTTGAGCTAGTTAGAACTGGAGGCAAGTAGACAGGTGAATCAATTAGATTCACAGAGTGACGAATTGGGCTACCATAAAAGGACGTTTGCTTTTTATGGCATGAAGTGCGCGACGAGTTGGAAACTGAGGAGATATTGCCATCAAGATCCGAGGTAAATTTTGACATGTCGCGATTGGGTGGATCGGAAACTGCCAAATTTGAACTTCGGGAGCACTCTTGTAACTTCGGGACTGGCGATTCATCATCCGACGAAATATAAATTAAATCCGGGCAAGATATAACAGCAGATTTAGCGGGAGAGGTGCCTGCGACTTGACACTAATGGGCACTTCCGGAGGTAAATCTTTGGACGCAGAGGAAAAGGCCGTAAGGTCCACCACCGATGTAGCATCACGAATAATAGATTGAATGCCTGGAGCATCCGACATAGACTTGTCCACCAACTTACTCGCGGAAGAATTGGCCCGCAAAGGTATGGACGACGACAATAGTAGAGTGGGTTGAGGACGAACATGAACTGATACTGTGTTAGCAGTAATCCGAGATCTTTGATGAGTCCATTTGAGAGGTCGGTTATCCTCCGGCGACGTTGAAGACGATGTTGACACAATGGGGCGCTTTTGCCCCTTTTTTGACTGGCGTTGCTTGTTTGCATGAAAAACCTACAGACGTTGATTTAAGGTGCACCGCAAGATGGTTCCTCCTTATCACTTAACCTTTATCAGTAATTTACGTCGACCCAGTAACTTTAACAATTTTGCCTTTGAAAGGTTTGAATAATTCCCGACCAGATTTCCAATCGAAAAATTTCCGAACTAAACTAAATAATCCAATTTACGTTTTGGCTGAGACGGGCTAATTTGGTCTGCCGGCATCTGGTTCCGGAAACGAAGAGTACCCGAGAAAAGATTTGACCTCAAGGTGGCAGCAAGCACTTGGTTACGCTCCGTTAGAGTCCTGAGAGTTTTGACGCCTTCCTCGTGTCTCAAATTTTTCTTTAAGGTCAACCATTGATTGGCTGACTTTGCCAAACTTTCCAAAGCTCGGTAATGGGGAGTTTCTGCGACTGAGTCTGTTAGCCCCCCAAAATATGGCAACACTGATGGGCTGGATTGAACGTTTTTTGACATATTTGATCCTAGGTCGGCTGTCACATTGCTCCCGACGCTGTTCCGCAGTGAACAGATCTCGTTCCAGATGATGATTATCTAAATTAACACGCGAAGGGAGACGTTCCGCCGCGAGAGATAATTCCGTATTTGTAGGACGAACGACATGTAATTCAAAAGGTGAAAACCTTGTCACCGAGTTTTTAAACACCCGAATATCCTCAATAATGTGCCGAAGCCTTTCATGTACACTGGAAAAATCTGGATTCAACCGAGAAGCTCCCAAACGACGCTCAATGGTCTGAATGGAACGTTCCACCAGACCACAACCACTATGGTTCCCGACCGGCAAAATTTTGAGAACTGTTTTTGTCAAACTGTTTACTAACTTATTTTTAAAACCTGAATACTGGTCCGTTTTGATTGACTTTGGAATACTATGACATTGAATATATGATTTCAAGAACTTAATTATCTTTTACCCCCCGTGGAGCGTGTAATCATAGCTGACGGATACTTAGAATACCGGTCGATTGCGACCACTATGTAAATATTGTTACCTGCAGAGTCGGGAAGAGGACCAGCACCGCATAATCGAGCTTGAGTTCCTCATTAGAACAGGACAAAAGAGGTAAAGCTTTGGTCGACTTAAACGAAGTGTTAGCTTTGAGATTCTTACCAAATTTCGTACATTGAGGACAACCTTTACAGAGTTGTATAATATCGCGATGCATTCGAGGCCACGAAAAATATTGGGCTGCATCCACCAGGGCAAGTTGAACCGCGTGTGACCTGTGAAGACGGGCAAGAAGAGGTTTTTGTAAGCAATTTGGGATAGCAATCCGGTTGTCAACCACGACACAATCGACCACTACTGCTGCTACGATTGATCCTATCCGACAGCTTTTTCCCTTGCACAGAAAACGTCGGCTCCTGCTTAATGCGCGCACTCTGGCCCGAATTGGACACTTGATGGGAGAAACTGCCGATACTGTCGGATACCCGAGCTGTTTTTGTAGATTAGAAGCAGTTTGGGCCCCCCTCTCCTGTAACAACGCCGACTTTAAAGTTTCTTTGGAAGTGGTCCCCGGACGGATACATAGTTCTCTTTGAATATACTTATACCTCATTTTTGCAAGGAAGATATCTCTCACCACTTCCTTCTCCTGATCAATCGTCCAACCGCACAAGGCTGCTTGTCCTGTAAGACGCAAATAGAAAGTCTCCAGACTTTCGCGTTCGGCATGTACGGCATTATAAGTTTGAGACGTTCAATGATATAATTTTTCTCCTTTCTGAAGAAAAGAACACAATGCTCGTGAAATTCTTGAAAAGTAATTGCACTAAGGTACGCATGTGGATAACTCTGAAGAAAACGTTTTCTACCTTCATTCGCTGTTCTACCTCGTAGAAACACACACCACGTGCCACTCTGGGGCCTTAAGGCAGACATTCCTCATTCATATCTGCCACTCTACCAACAGCTGCATCGTTTCTAGCAATGCGATTAGCTATGGCTGCTGCCTCTTCATCAATTCCAACAGCCTCTAGTTTTGGGACTGGATCATCATGAACTACACCCGGCAGTTTCAGCAACTCACCAGGATCGCACCTTTCCCGTAGAGTGATGGCTAGATTGAATTGCCCTATCCAAGAATCCCAACTACTGGGTGGATCGGCTGTTGAGTTATGCCAAAATACTGGAACGCCTAACAGGTCAGTCCGGTAGTCTGATGACACAACCGGAACTGCTGGCTGCGCCATGTGATAACTTAAGGGACTGAGATAGCTAGCCAAGACTTAATTGATATATAAATAAATATGTACTTTAACAAATCATGTCATGACATTAAATTGTGTCTAATTAAATCTTTCATAAGTCGACTAGAGAGTGAGTGAATAAGCTTGCATAGAATTGAACCGATGTTTGACAGGTCGATAGCGACCTTGATGACCAACAATAGATTAACGACTAAGATTAGAATGACGTCATAAGTAACAATGAATAACACCGCACCACACCTTTGTAGGAAGTTTTGATTAATAAATATCTATGTGTCAAAGTGGCACAAGTGGCTAAACTCTTTTGTATGATTTTATTCAAAAGTGCGGTAAATAGTTGTGGAGGTTTGAGTTCCACGAGCAACCATGGTCGGTACTAGAGGACAAATTGACAAAAAAACCAACAAAGAGATACATTTAGTTCCTTATCAAAGACATAACAGAGGTTCCTTATAGAGAGCTCAAGAAAATATTTTTCACGGTACAGTTTTGCATAATGGTTTACAACGCTAACTTCCCAAATTGCATAATTCCCAAATGGCATAAAATTGAATTTTTTTCCCAAATGGCATAAATTTTAAGTTTTCATTGTAATTTAAACGTTTTCTATCAATTTCCAATTCTAACATTTTGCCAGTAACGAAAGCATGTGAACAAGGCTTGGAATTAATTGATTCCAAACAAATGTTACGCAACAAATTTGTCGAAAAAACTGACCACAAGCAGCTCATTAATAACCGCAAGCTTATGCTTCTTGCTTTTGATTAAAAAAAACTACAACTTTTTCAAGATAGAATGTCAACCAACATTCAAATTGACAGCTTGGCTTATTTTCTCACATTGCTCACGAAAAAATTGTTCTCGATTTTTTCAAGGCAACTGTTGCATGAAATTTATGCCATTTGAGAATTTTTTCACTTTTATGCAATTTGGGAATTATGTCATTTGAGACTTAATCGCTTACAACCATAAGATTAGTTCATAAATTTACTTTAAAATAATTTTATATTTTGCTTAAAATTTTGCTTTGAAAATTTCTGAAACCATTTAGTTCTGCAAGTTTAACTTGGGTGTGTTTGAAACTAGATACTCTTCTGTGGGAGACCCCGGTGTGGCAGAACCAGACAGAGGCCATCTTCTGCGACCACCCGAAGGATAAGCCAGTCGTGTTCATCCTCATTGTTCTCAACCAGACATTCACTCGCGTCAAACAACTGTGGGACAGGTTAGCAAAGTAATCAATCATAATGGATTTTCATTCAGATTTTGCGGCAACAGTAATTGATGATGAATACCAAAACTAGGTGCTTACGAGATTTTTTGTCGATAAATTGTTCATAATTCTTTCTGAAAATCTCGTGTAATTGATTTTCAAATGTTCTATTCTCTTATTTCGTCAGCATTTTAACAAGGCCAAAGATATTGAATAATGGAGTGTAACTTTGCTGTGAAAATTAAAATCTCTAAAAGGTCTCGTGTCAATTTTGGTTTATCTAAATTCAAAATTTTACACAAAACAAAAGTTTAATAGAGATCCATTCCTTCAATACAGTGGAAAATTTCCCGCCGTTGGTGAAAATTAACTCAGCCAGATAAATTATTAACCTGTAGGAATGTGGCAAAACTTTGTTGAAAAAATTGTGCATCATGAAAAAAAATTCATTGAGAAAAAATATAGATAAAGCCTAATGTTTTTGAGTTCGTTGGAAAACTGCTAAAATAATTTCAAAGCTATCAGAGTAATTAGCGTCCATAAACTAGCTTGGATGCAAGTTTGAGGACAAAATGGGCAAATACAAGATTTTTTTTTTCAAATAAAATTGATTTAAAGCGATTGAAATGGATTATATTTCGGTTACATGACAATTTATCTTTTTCCACTTTACCCTATGCAGAGTTACACTGTGCTGCTTTATTGATTCGACTTTCGAAGAAAACGGAATAGTTATGCTCGGTGTGGTTTTTTTCAGTCAGTTTTCGCCGATCGAGATAATAGTTTTCGAGAAAATTTTTTATACACCATTGAAGATATCGGCTTCCTGAGTTCAAACATAAAAAGATATTTTACCTCCCGATTGTTTTTTGGGATTGAGGAGATTGTTCTAGGGGATTGAAAAATGCCAAATTGGCCATGCTCTGGACTAAAATATGCGCGCTTTGAAGAATTTATTCATTTATTAATTTATTTATTGCTGGTAACGCGAATTATTTATGCGTAGCGAATTATCCCACTCAACATAATCATTCCAAATTGAACTGAGACTAAATAATCAGATCGACATATCAACATTTTACACTTTGACATTGTCCCAAATATATAGGTTTTCAATATTTTCTTTTTCTAAAAACTATTCGATATGAAATAAGGGAAAGTCGGAATATTCAGGGCTTTGCCCTGTTGTACGAGCAGTCTTAATCTACTTTCAAATTGAAGTAAATTTTGTTTATTATTGTCCTCAATACCGCTGTTAGAAAAGCAAACGCTATCGAATTGCATTGGTGTTTCAAAACTTCTGTCAACGATTGGTGGGGTGAAGGTTTTTTTTATTGTTTTTTTTTTCAATTTAGAGCCGTATAGCAAGTTGCTCGGTTTTTTCTTCCGCAACGGTATGCAAGCAGGTTGCAGTCATACTGCTGTTCATCGACTATTGTCATCAAGGCCTGTCATTTCAATAGTTTTCTAGAGTTCGTTTCAGTTTTTCATCCCTTGCTTTTCAGTATATTCGTGGCCACCAATATTAGGAGGACGACGGTTGCATTTCCAAAATATTTTTTTAAAAGTTTCGCCAATTACAGCTTTTACTTTCATTTTTTTCAAAAGTGTTTAAATTGCGGATTTAACTTAGTTACATGTCATAACAAACAAAATTTATGCAAAGACCTACTGTGCGTCTTTGCAGCGATTAGCTTGAATTTGCTACTCAATTGAGTCTTAATTTTTGGCCTAACAAGAAATAACAAGGGCAAGTTAAAAGTCTTTTTTCGGTATTTAATCAAAGAATAAAAACTAATTGCGACACATTTGGGCTTAAAACAAAGTAGCACAGGTTATGTTAAAAACTAAGGTAAAGTTCATGGGACTAATTGGAACATAAGGTAAACTGGTATAGTGCAATTTTGTGGAAGATAAAACTGATTAAATTAATATGCCCGGCTGGCTATATTTCAAACCAGATTGAAAAAGAATCGATTAGATCGAATAAACTTACTATAATTGATTATTCTGTTTTTAAGAAAATTGAGACTAGTTATTAGTCAAGTTTTAACAAAATTTTTCAAAGGCTGGCTGATACTAAAATTGGAAATTATTTTTTCATCAACATAAAAAATTGGATATCGGTGGGGGCGATTTTTTAAAAAATTTGTCGGCAATTTTTAAATTTGCCAGATCCAGTTTTTGTGTTCCGTTGAATCACTAGAAAGAACATCTTGAACACTTTCTGCTCTGCAGGATATGGGATTAAAAAGAGGATTCACAAGAGCTTTTTTGCATGGTTTAGAAGTACGCAGGATGAACGACTGATGTTCGTGGACGATTCGTTTGAGCACAACATGCACACGTGGGTGCACTGCAATTTCTATAACAAACTCAGACTCAGTCGGGTGGAGTACTACGAAGAACACAAGCCACAGAAGATCCAAATCAGCGTCGATGTGAGTACTTAAAGATATTATAGACCTTAAAGATTACAAATATTATAAAGCAAAATTTTACAGGAATTATAGAGATCGGGAATATCTTTTGAAGGTTTGCTTGACAAATATCCTCTATGCAACAGAAAAAAATTGTCATGCAAATATTTGAAACTTATTCGAGACTTCTTCGAATTGGTGGACAAATCCGTTTATAGAGATCTAACTTGAAGCGCCAATGTGACTATGTGCCAATTTGATTTTGATAATGAAAAGTAGCTAAAGAAATTTAATTTTAAAAGAGTCAGCTACTCAAGATTGCTAGTATCAGGTGAGAGCCTTGATAATACAACAGATTTTTAGTTTCTATGATTTAGCGTTCGCTTAAAAAAATGGCACAAAATTTTCAAAAAAAAAAGAGAAAAAAATTTCATTCAACTTTTTCAAGATTTTATGGAATGTGGTAACAAAGAAAACAGTTTTTCTTTTTAATTTGAGCTCAAGACAAAAATACTTTTTAAAAGATATCATTAATTAATTCATTAAAACTTGTCTGGAGAAAAAACAATACCCCGAGTGAGCACTAATAAATTATCTTTTTCAAAGTTCGAAATAATAAGCTAAACGAAAACTCATAGAAGTGGGTGTTATAATTGATAAACTGTTGAATAAAGTTGAAGGAGTTTTGTGCTTCTTTGTTTAGAGAACGGGTATGAAACGAATGATAGTAACAAATTGTAGTACTGAACAAGAAATAAAAAACAATCTTTTGTTCAAAAGTTTATTTTTACCATTTTTTGAAAATAAATAATTACTTCAGGTACCTCTAGCCGACAAAAAACAACCTTAAATTCAGCTGCCCAATGCAAATTATGTTTTGCTTAAGAAATCATGTCTCATTTTAATTTTTGTTTATTTAAGGCTTTCAAGGACCCACAATATCGACTCGAAATAAAAACAAACTGCAAAACATAATATCAAGAGCCTAAAGCAGCAACCAGGAAAAACACAGCAGAAAAGTAAACCATGCTATTTATGCAACAAGAAATAGCATGGTTTTGGTTTCCGGGTGTGTTTCTTCGGATTATCAGAGTTTTTGCTGTTCTGGGCTCTATTGAATCGACATTATTGTTTTCCTTTTGAATCGACATTTTTGATTCATGTTTGATTTTAAAGATGTTTTAACATGAAAATGATTGAGAAGATGAATTTTGGTGCATCTGTTTTTGCAAATTTAAGGCGGTGGAATCAGCTTTTTCTTTCAAAAGTACAAATTAAAAAAAAAAATTTCTGGGGACTTACCGGGTCGGATGCTTAATTGCCCGAGAGTCGTAAAAAATCATTGTAGTCCTTGACGTTCTGCATTTGATTGTAAACGTGCTTGCGCTCAACAATGATAGTTTTTTATCTAAAAAAATTTGTATTTTCGTAAAATTCTTTGATTGACGTAGTGGCTAAAATGACATGAGCGAAATTTTGTAGGAATTGTTTTTTCCCTTCAGTACCTAAGGAAAAAAATAGCCTCGATTTCACTCTCTGGTCCGCCTTGTAAAGAAAATTGTTCGGTCTTGTTGAAAAGTGTTCAGTCTTCAGTTGGAAAAGTGTTCAGTATTGATCCCATTTTGCGACGCTCGGCGGTTTTGATGATTAATTTTCCGAGTTTCTGCTTTTCGCGCTTAACCTGGTTATCGGCGTCAGTTATTGATTCGGAATCTCTTACCTTTTTTTTTGGGAAGGATCCTCAAAAACGTCGACTGGATCTGATATAAATTTCGCAATGTTCCCTGAGTGTAATCACCAAAAAAGGGTTGTCCATTATGGCCGTGATTCAAAATTGTCGGCTGCGCCATGTGAAATACTAACCTATTGTCAGTTTCTAACAAATATATAACTAAATTAGAAGTTGAATGCTGAATGGAAATCAGTTTGGTTACGTTAATAACTGTTGTTAATAACTGTGATCTTTCAACAATTACCAAAAATTGAGCTTATTCAGCTCCGATTTATTTCAGCAGTTTGTCTAGTTTGGGATCCCTGTCCGACCTTGAACATCAAATCTAAATCACACTTTAAACGCAGACTAAGCTGTAGACGCAGTCTGAAGAATAATTAAATAAAAAAAACCCTTTGATTGACGAGGATATCGAACTCTGCTCTTGGTTCAACATAAAAAGTTCAATAGGTTAAATAGTTCTATTTCCTATTTGCATTTGAGGGGCTTTGGATTGTTTAAAAATCATCACATTTTGAATTGAAAACAAACTAAATTCATCGTATTTTACGATTACGAAAATTCTGATTGGTCAATCAATTTTTGAGGCAGTTTATATCTTTTTCGAAATTTGTGAAAGCATCGTTTCTGGTCATGATTTCAGGACTAACAAGATTGACTTTTGGGCAAGATTAACTTTTGAGAGCTGTCCAACTCATTCCCATCCAAGACACATTGTACTTGGAAAACTAGAAATGGATTACGTGTTTATGATTGCTTTCTTGCGATTCGAAATAACTATTCGCTGCAAATTAGTCTAAAAATTGAAAACGATTAGAACAGTCGTTTTTTTTGTCATCACTAATCGAACTTTTTGTAGATACTTGCGGGATCTATTTAACAATCCCCTTTTGGTGTCTACTTAAGAAACTCGACCCCTCTAAGTAGATTGGTCTAATTTTGCTGCATTATGATTGGTCAAAAATACGACAAATTTAAACTTATTGAGTTATGACCGAAGTGTATAACTCATAGAGTAATTTCGGATAGGGTACACCGTCTGCTCGTCACGCTATCTTATTTTCGGCCGGATAGATTCGTGCAACTTCTTAGTCTAATACCGATCCTAATCTTACTCTTATACTATCTAGTCTCAGGTTGTTTAACTAGTCTCTGCTAGGCTCAATAGATCTAGGGTATACTGGTTTATTGCGGCTGCTGAAGTACTCGGGAGAGTTCAACTAACTTCTAAGTTAAATTCAAATCTCTCTGGTGCTGAAATTACAAGTAATTTCAGCACTTACAAATAAGTGGATTGTTAGTCAGATGGATCATGATTGGTTAATATTAAATACTTTACATTGGTAAAATATCTAATTTATCCAATCATAAAATGTAGTTTAGATCAGGTTTTACAGAGTTTTTTAGAATAGTCTTTCTATAATTCAAAGGATGGATGATGGACGTTGGTGTTTGGCGAACATCATATTTCTTCTGGGTTCTCTTGTTAGAGAAGTTCCAGGTTCGATCGTTGCGTCATCTCATGACAACGACTGGGTTTTCGCAACAAACTCAAATCTGATTTCAGAATGGTTGGCTATGTCAGGTTTTTCTGTTTCATTGATGAGAACTTCTTTGTGTTTTGATCTTGTCTGGGAATGGCGTGGAGATTGTGCGTGGAGGGGATGCCTGGTTACTCGGATCTGTACGTATACTTGAACATCGAGGTGGTCATTGGTCTAGTTCAATGAAGTCCTTTTCTGCGAAGTCAAGTCGTACTCTAAATCCTTTGAGTTGTGATTGTGAGTGGCATATTGATTGTAGTTGGCCATTCTTTCTCGAGTGTAGTAGGGTCGTTTTGTCTTTGGATGTTCGTCCTTGGTGTTGTATTCTGATCTATGTATTGCATAATGTAATTTACATTTTATAAAACTTTTATTAGTTTAATATTTTTTAATTATGATTTTAGTTAGTTGTTTTCACAAAAGCTTTTTGTTTTAGTTCAGTTATTTTGAAGAGTTACTCACCCTTGAGTAGCTCTTATTAAAAATAGGAGTGTGTGTCACAAAGCGTGAATGTAGCGCGGTGGGTTAGGCCGGCTATAGAGCAAGCTCAGGACGTCCTCTTCTGGTGGGTTAGGCCAGGAGTGGGAGTATGATTGCATGCGGTTTTTGTGAGAGGTCCTGTTATGTGACAACGTTTTATGTTGGGTTTGTTGTGGTTTTTCTTATATTTGTTGGTTGTGTCCTTTTTTCAAAAATCGAATTGTTTGTGGTATGGGTTTGTCTTTCGACTTTTTTGTGTTTTATGATTTCTTTCTTAGACTTTATAATAGTCTTCAAAAGAATAAATTATCCAGTTTTAAACTGGGTTAATCCGGTTTGGGTACCGTTGGTTTCCTTTTCTTAGTCATGCTGTTATTCTATGATTTGTGGTGTTTAGTAAGCTGCGTTGGTTAGTGTTGTTTAGTGTATAATTCCTTTCCAACCGGGTTAAAGGAAAGTTTGAAACGTGTTATCTTGTGTTAGAGTTATCGAGTGTGAAAACTTGAAACTGAAATTCATTATTTTAAACAATTCTTCGTAGGCGAGCTGTGCGAATGTGGATAGAATGTTTGTGCGAATGAATGGAAATATCAAAAGGTTAGTACTGCATTTTCGTTATATCAATTTATTACATAGAATTTCTAATTTTACTGCTAGTTGTTGGGGAAAATTAAGTTACAAATTTTCATCATTTTTAGATTTACTCCTTGTGGGGGAAAAATTTATAAATTAAATTACTGCATTGGTATTATATTTATTTAATTGTTGGTGCAAAATTTTAATAGGGTTTTAAACAGTTTTGAAGAAGTTTGCTATTTTTTATTTTTCTTTTGTGAATTTTTCAGATGATCGTTGGATGAAGGCTAAAATTCTAAAGAAAACATGGATAAAGAATGGTGAGTTTCTAATATTTTAATTAGTTAGTAATATGTATAATTCATACTTACCTGTTAGTCGTCGGGGAAGAAACCGTAGGGGAAGATGTCGTGGATGAGATCTGAAGTTGTTAGTAATTTAGCTAAGATGCGGATGATATTTTTAGTTTGAAGCAGTGGCCAAAGCAATTGAAGTGCTTTAATGGTGGTTAGTTCTTCAGTGCCAACTGCAAATTCATAAGGTGTGTTTTGGATTAGATTATATAATTTGTGATTGAATTTAGTGTTATGGATGAATTCTAAAATGGGGATTTCTATAGGTTGTACAAACTCGTGTGGGATAAGGAAGGGTCGGGATTCTTCTGCGTTGAAGGTCTTGGTGATGGGACA